CCTGATAAAAATAAAAATTACCGTGCCGGTAGAGTAAAAATTACTGTGACGGTACAGTAAAATTTACCAATCGTTCTTGAATTTTCGTTGTTATCTACATAAAAATTATTGGACTGGAAGGGTAAAATTTATTATGCGTCAGGATAAAATTTCTCTTACGTAGAATAAAATTTGATCATCATATATTAATTTTTACTAAATTTCGAGATAGAACTGAAGAAACGATGACTCATGATACACTTTTATAGAATGGTAGAGTAATTTTTATCAAAAATTTCTCTCCGTGTACCAAACTGTAAAAGACACTTGGATATCCTTAATTCCCTTTATCTGCCCATATTTTTCGAACCATCATCACTCGCCTCATCAGTTCAACCAGATTCAGTTTTTCCATGACCGCAAGACCCTTCAGCCCCCCTCCGATTCCTCTTCCCAAAGATTAAACCAATTCTCCGTTCATCCCAGGGACAAAACGCTCTCACCACTAATCGTGTTATCGAAGAAAAGTTATTGAAAAAAGCGCCAAACGCTTGCAATCCTCGACCCCCTCCATTACCTCAAAAAAACCCGAGATATCGTTGACGATCAATCACCCCTCTTTATCTAGGTACGGCATTGTCACTCCAGTGACAAGTGGAAGGCAATCGATGGCTGTACCCCGTCAGTAGGACTCCCACCCTTCGTCCTCCTTCTTCTTCTGCACAGCTGTCCAAGCCCCCATTTCCCAGAAAACGAGAAAAAGAGGTCATGGATATTTCTCGGTCTCGTCCCGGTTTGTGGAATCAGGGGACGCACTGCAATGCAGTGGAGTTTCCTTCCTCGACTATTTGACATACTAAAATGGCGGGAGAAAGTGATCCTCTTGTTAAGAAATTTATGTAGCATTTTTTTTATTTCACTCGTGGGGATACTCGTCTTATGGAGGGGAAAGGTTTGTATAAATTATTATGAGACTTTTTTTCAAATTTCGGGATAGAAATTTCGTTAGAAGAACTAAAGAACTAATTCTTTAGAAGAATTTGGTCCTGAAAATGATGAAAATTATTGCGGTGTAATCATCTTTGGATAACGCATACTGAATTCTATCTTTCCAAAAGTCATTATTTACGTTGATAATCAATAAAGTTCCAGTTATGTTTGGTAAATTTCACTTCACTGATGCAGTAATTTTTAGCGTACGGTACGTTACATTGTAAAAGACAATTGAGATTTCATGAACAGTTGACTTGTAATTTTCCGAGAATAACATTGAATTCTATTTAGAGGGGAAAATTATGAAATGTCAGATTTCATTAAAAATTGAATAAAATGTCAAATTTTTGAGCAGCAGGAAGACTAGAATATCAAATAATTTCCTGCATTTTCGTTATCTTTCATGGAATAATTGAATTAGGATTTCCATTGGAGTTTCCATTGGTTTTTTCATAAAGTTTGACTTTTCAAGTGTACGGAAAATTTCAGTCAAAAATTTTCACCACTAATTTCTACATGAACCGTCAGTGTAAAATTTAATAGCCAGAGAAATAGATAGACATCGGTACAATCATCAATTTAAAATTGAGTTGAATTTTGCATTAGCTAACTAATTGATATTACCCACCAGTTTTTTAATTATTAAACAAATCATCGATTAAATATTCAAATTCCGAATTAATTTACCAATCAATAATTGAGTTCGGAAGATTGACGATTACTTGGCTAATCGAAAAATCCTTTTATGAAATTTAGAATTATTTACTCAATAGTCAATTGAAAATAAAAATTATCAATTACTTTATCATTTTTCACATTTCAATGAAGATAAGTGAACCTTAATTATTGGACAATGCAACTTCTCATAATATTAGAAAAATAATGATTGATGCTGATCCCTGGAAATAGAGTTGAAATAAAACCACACGGAGAGAAATTTTTGATAAAAATTATCCTACTGTTCTATAAAAGTGTATCATGAGTCATCGTTTCCTCATTTTTATCCCAAAATTTAGTAAAAATTAATATATGATGATCTAGTTTTATTCTACGTTAGAGAAATTTTATCCTGATAAAAATAAAAATTACCGTGCCGTAGAGTAAAAATTACTGTACCGGTAGGGTAAAATTTACCAACCGTTCTAGAATGTTCGTTGCTATCTACATAAAAATTATTGGACTGGGAGGGCAAAATTTATTATGCGTCAGGATAAAATTTCTCTAACGTAGAATAAAATTTGATCATCACATATTAATTTTTACTAAATTTCGGGATAGAAATGAGGAAACGATGACTCATGATACACTTTTATAGAACAGTAGGATAATTTTCATCAAAAGTTTCTCTCCGTGCAAAGAAATCAATATCATTCGTTCAAACAGGAATTATTCCCGTCAATGAATTCTATTATCACCTCATTATCACCAAATTTCATTATTGAACTTAAATTTTCACTAAATGAGAAAAAAATGACTGATGACATCTTTACGTAACAATCCCCCATTCCTTCCCAAGCCTTTCTCTGCATCCCGTAAAACAAAGACTATTCCCTGTCTCGTGGCACCGCAAGAGGGTTTAATACCGAGCCCTGGCGTAATGCTTTGAATTGCAAATAAACACCTCTCTGCAGTGGCACATGGCCTAATTGCGATTTCGTTGATCCGGATAGGGTATAACGTAAGGTCTGATCCGACTGAAACCGTTGATACGAGTTGAAATGATACCACTGGGGTATCTCCCATAAGTGTCCAACCAATCGAATCCAATAGAGATTATCACCGTGGGCTGTGATGCCGTAATTAAGCCGTCCCAGGGGATTTCCCCAACGCTCATCCAAGAGTCTAATTAATTTATTCACAGTGTGTGTGGGCATTTGCACATTTTCCACAGCGTACACCCGTTAACCAAGGGCGCTGAGTCGAAATTGTCTATGTTTTCTTAATGAAAATAGAAACGTCAGTGGAAAAAGGTGAAAATAAGAGGAAGTAAAAAAGTCATTCCACTGGCATAAATATGCCAAGAAGCGTCAGCCGTGATAACAAGGTTCTCCATGGAGATTAGCAGACTCGGAAAAAAAAGACCTCGAACATAAAATGAGATTCGAGAAGCTATTCGGCTGATGGGGGGTTACCACAGCGAAATGAATCCTGAAAGAAATTAACCTGATTAAAAAATATCTGGGAGAAGAAATTGGTTGGGGGAAGGGACCAGGGAATTGAGAAGATAAACTGTCGTTTAAGTAAAAAAGTGAATCTACGGGTGCAGAGCGAGAGAAAGAGGGAAGATTCAGTGAGGAAAAACGAGAAATTTCAAGTTATTTTTTTCGCACTGAGTTCTACTCCGTGAATTCTCCAGACAGGAACAAAAGCCAGAAAATATTTTACACCAGTGAAAATAAAAGCTGAGTCAAATGCATGGAAAAAAAGAGGAAGATTTTTTTATTCCGGGGAGAACAACGCAGAAAGCTTTGGGATGAAACGACATCACATCTTTGGCTTGCTCATAATACAAGAAAATGCATTGTCGAGAGACTGGAGACGGGGAGGGGGTGGGAATGGAGGGTTGTCGTGTATGTCTTGGCAAACAAATACTCAATGTACGGGAATGTTTCGTTCGCCCTCGAATAAAACAAGATTTACGGGGTCTGGAGTATCTTACCAATAGCTGAACAGGCCATTCTCATGATTTTCAAACGTGGGGTGGAGTACACCCACTATCAGTCGCTCGGGGAATTAATTCAGACAGGAAAGACGAACAATGGGAGCAAAAAGGCTGATTGTGAAGTGCAGTGTAACATCTGAAAGTTTGCGTAATTAAATTCATTGTTTCAAGAAGTTGAATTTAATTCAGGGAAAATCGCATTAAGTCTGATATGAAGACACTTTCATCCCCTTTTTTGAGACGTTGGCTTCACAAATTTCAGCCATTTTTGGTGTTAAAAATTGAGACATTGAAACGAAAATTATTGACAATTTGAATTCCTGTTCTCATAAATAACTTCAAGTGTCCTGAATTGAGGCAGAATGAATGGCTTATCTACACTACACTGAGAGAAAAACGACAAAGTTTTATGCGAAACAAGGGATAGTAGTTTTTCGTTTCGACTGTCTAATAATCACGGACCAGAAATGAACCCTTAAATGAAACAATAATAATGATATAATATCAATCTTGTAACTTAGGGATAAAATATTTGTTGATAAATTTTCCTCTATATGAGACATTTTCATCCTGAAAAGGCGCGGTCTGGTGTGAACTACCTGCCTCTTGAGCCACATATTTCGTTGCTGTCCAAAGCAGATCAATTATTCATGTTTGAAACTTTCAAATTTGACCCAAACAAATTCTTTTTTGGCAATTTTCAACTAGCGATTTTGTTGGCCCAAACAAGACTTGTTTGACAACGTGCTTGTTTTTCTCCCAGTGTAAGAGAAAAAATTAGTTCTGCCGAAAAATTATATGTTCCCCTGAAGGATCTTTAATCGCGTTGAATCAATTTACTTGTCGACAAAAAGAAAGTTTCAGTCATCACAAAGTAAGCAGATAAGGCACATTTCCGTGTTTAATGTCTTAACTTACGACGTCTTCAAGACACTAGTTTTCACAGCGTAATCCTTTGATAATTACGTCCTTTATCGCTGGGTTTAAAGTTGATGGATGGAGCTCTCCCCGTTGGATAGCTTTGTCATTCGGTTTAATGATCAGTGAAATATGAATAAGCACTCTGGATACAGGGGTATCAGTGTATATTCAGGTATTGATTCCCGTAGTGATTAGACCATGGATACTAGGCGATTGAATTTATAGTATTGAGGTTGGAATGTATTTTTAACGAAAAATAACAGTCAATGAAACGAGTAGAGCGAAAGAACTAATGATATTGAATAATGAAAAAATATTAAAGAGGAGGAAGGCTCCGGCGGGACTGCTCGTTCCACACTCGGCCAACGATACCATCGCGACTGATCTTCTCTGTTTTTTGTTTCTTTTTTCTCTGTTCTTGCTGATACCCAAACACAACAACCAGATACGTATTCACAATAGTCAGCTATCTCATCGGGGTCTTCATATTTGCTACAATCGTTGGACAAGTTGGCAATGTCATCACCAATCGAAATGCCAATAGGCTTGAATTTGAGAGACTGCTTGATGGGGCTAAGACCTACATGAGGCATCATAAGGTGCCTGGTGGTATGAAGAGACGTGTGCTCAGGTGGTATGACTACAGCTGGTCCAGAGGACGGATCCAGGGCGGTGGGGATATTAATACCGCCCTTGGTCTACTGCCGGACAAGCTGAAGACCGAGCTTGCGCTACACGTCAATCTGTCTGTCTTGAAGAAAGTCACCATTTTCCAGGTGAGGTTAATCAGTTTATTATTTTTATCTTTAGTTGCAGGTACACGTGTATTCTTTTCGCAGGTACGAGAGCTTTTTCTTTGTAGTTTTGTTTTAGTTATTTAGGTGAACACAATTTTCCAGTGATTTTTGGGTTTCAAATGCTATTTGCGACGGCTTGTAACTAAACTATCAGTTCAAAAACTCTTACTTTAAAAGTACATTCCGCTTAAAATAGATTGTTGGTACACTGTTGGAAAATTTTTCCCTGAAATTTGCTGTAAAAGTCTTGGACATTTCTAACGAATAACATTTCCACCGAAATTTCAAGGAATTTGTCATTGAATATTCATAATTTCATGGAGAAATGCGTGAGAACTGCACGTTTCAGTTTAGTTATTCCGGGAAAATTAATAGAAAATCAGGAAAGTTCAGAGAAATCTCTGTTTGCATTCAAGGGAATTCGGCAGTGAATATTCATTTTCACTTGAAAATTCACGTAAATTGTGAAATTTCCATCTTCCTACTCCAAAAAATGGGACTTGACTTGAATTTTCAGATAAACTTGAAATTCCATTGTCTTTTTCCTCTTAAATCGAATTCAAAGTCTTTTTCCCGAAAATTCAGCCAATTTTTTTCAACAGTGTACTCAATTTATGAGATTTTTATTAAAAAAAAAAAAATTTTTTTCTTTTCTGACGTACATTTCGGTAAATAATGAGATTAGATAAAGATCTCTCATTCGAATACTACAAGAAATGAGATTCTAAAACTTTAAAAATCGAAAAAGCTCGATGGAATTAAAATCTAAAACTAGAATAAAACAAAATTCCAATGGCGAATATAAGTTTACCTTCAAATGATGCGGCCCTGACTCTCTCTCAGAAATTGAAGACCCAATAATAGTTAAGAAACCGGTTGCACTTTGCTTGATCCCTTCAACACTCATAAATCTCTCATAAATAAAGAATAATTCAACTCAACTCAGCATTCAATCCATTAGGTCCAGCAGCGGAAAATAGAATTGAGATTTAAATAGACGAAAGATTCGATCCCAGGATAACACCAGTGAAAGAATACCGGCGTAGATAAAAGTCGAAAATAGGCGTTCCATCTTTGGGATGTTGGAAACAGGGTCGGTAGCGGAAGTGAATCGATAGTGACCTCGCGGTTTCCTCGCGCTTTTTCCGTCACCCGGCATACAACGGTTTTACTATATGTTTTTCTCCTATCTCACCTTCAGAATGTAGATGTCCATTTTTCTATCTCCCTCGGTCTCGCACTTTTAACACCCGGGATGCGGGTCACGCCACAGGAAACGCCTCGATATCTTCTATTTTCTTTTTCATCTCCTTTTTTTTCATAAAACGCCTCGCATTTTATTCTCCCTCAGGGCAAGACCGTAATACGTGGTGATGCCATAAGAGGCAACACGAAAACTATATTTATCGACACTTTTCATGATGAGATTGACGTAATTGTGTTATTGTAAATATTCAACATTTTTTTTCATGTTACGTGAGAGCGCGCGTATGGGCGATGGAACTTCCTGAAAGGGTCTCGTTTTTCTCATGATTGAGTAGATCGCTCCTTTCTGGGAGTCGTTTTCATCATCTTTTACATCTTTTCTCATTTATTTTGATCATCACACTCATAGAATGATTCATTTATTCCAAACGAGATGCGTTAACTGTTAAAGTGTTTCGTGCACGGAGAGAAATATTCAGCAAAAATTACGGAACTCACAATTCACTCACCGATTACAGCACGGACTCGGAAAATTTAAGTGATGGTATCGTAATTTTTCACAGGTGATTCAGATAAATATTACGGAACGCTCTGGAAAAATTGCGTGACAATTCCGTAAAATTTCCTACAACCACATTTCGCTCTGGAATTACGGAAAAGATACGTAATTTTTTCACAGAATAATTGACCTGAAAAATCAAGTATTTCATTGATTTCCAGATCATTTGAACAGAAAATCAATGGAATATATGTTGTTTCAATGACAATATTTCCTGAAATTTTAGTGGAACTTGAACACGATAAAAAATTCCGGAATTTGGCACGGAAAATTCAGAGAAAAATACTTCTGAAGATCCAAGTAAAAAATCATAAAATTTCTAACAGTTAATTTACATGGAATTTTCACGTATGTTGTTCCTGACAAATCATTAAATTTCATGAATATTCAAGAGAACTACCGCAAATTGTAAAAATTCAAACTCTCGTTTTGATTTTTCAATCTATTAAAAATTCTATTAAATGTGTTTTATACAATTTTGCCAATGAGCTTGAGAATTCAAACTGTCATTAAAATATCAGTGATGGTCTAACATGAGAAATACAATTTTGTTCATTTAGAAGATGTAGACACCCCACTAGCGTCTTGTTCATGAATTAAATTCGATTTCCCAAAATTAAAAATGCCAAAGCCGTTGTTATGTTGAACAATGAAATTTGATGTATGAATTTCAAATTTTATTCTTCATTAGAGAACTTTTATTCTGATGGCACAAATTATTGCGAGGTACTAAGTTTGCATGAAGCATACTAAATTTTGTCCTTCGAACCGTAACACTTATCCTGCAGGACATTAAATTTTATACACACTATAAGGGTAAAATTGGCACTGGAAGGGTGAAATTTATTATGAGCCGTGCGAAAACCATCAAGCCACAATCATCTATATTATTATCAGAACGTAATTTCGCTAACAGAAAATAAAATTTCATCTTCGCACGTTAAATTTCATTGCTCAACATTCAATCCTTACGTCACAGAGAAAAAAGCTTCAGTTTTTGTAGATAAATACGTAATTTTTAGGAATTGATTTTTCGGGATCTTTGTTCTCATTTTTTTAGGAATTCTTGACCCTAATTTAGAGACAAATTGCCTAACATTTAGTATTTTGTCAGAATTTTCGAGTGGCAGGGAGACGAGAACTGCCAAACTCACTTCAGAAGATCCTGGAAAATTTTACTGTTCGAAAGGTAGTCGTGGAGCGAAATGTAATTCAATGAAAAAATACCTACGGATATTTTACGATTCTTTCGGTTAAAAAAAATACATCTGTGGATGCAAAAATTATCCTTCTCTACCTTCAGTAAATTTTCCCGGGCCAACGAAGAAAAATTCACTCTTTGTCTCGCACTTTTTCCCCGATATAGGATGAAAAAGTACTGAAAATCAAGTTTACTCCACGATTACTTTACTTGTTCGGTAATTTTTCTTTAACTTTTTTCTCCGTGTACCAAATTGCGTTGAATTTTCAATTTACTGAAATCCACGGATATATGCATCAAATTTTTCCGATTCCTATTAATTTCCATAGAACGATTGAACTAAAATTTACAGTTTCCACTGATTTTTCCACAAAAAAATTAAATTTTCAATGACGCAATTTCTCGAAATTTCAATAGAATTATAATGTGAATGATGAGAATGATAATCATAATGTGTACCGGAAATTTCAGCCAAAATTTTTTAACCACGTAGACCACATCCACTTGATTTCCCACTTGTTAAACGTCCACTGTTGACAATTTTTCACTGAAATCTCCCGTAAAAATTTTGGCAATTTCTAACAAGTAATAGTTCCACTGAAATTTCAAGGAATTTTGTCATTGAATATTCATAATTTCATGGAGAAATCCGTGAGAACTGTAAATTTCAATTTAATTATTCCGGGGAATTGAATGAAAATTCAGAGAAATCTCTCCTTGAATTCCAGATTCCTCTAAATTTTCAAGGAATTCTTCAAAAATTCCGGGAATTCCAAGAATGTTAAATGAATTCCCTGAAAATTCAAGGGAATTTGACAGTGAATACATATTTTCACTTGAAAATTCATGTAAATAGTTTAATTTCCATCGTCCTGCCGCTAAAAACTGGGACCTTACTTGAATTTCCAGATAAATTAAAAATTCCATTGACTTTATCTCCTTAAATTGAATTCAAGATCTTTTTCCAGAAAATTCAGCTAATTTTTTTTAACAGTGTTAGAATGCCACACCCCTGGAAGCTAAAACTTTTTTCCTCTTTTTTTAACACCAACGTTAATAGAACAGTAGGATATTTTTTCACAAAACTTTTCCCTCAATGTTGACCTTTTATCACACCTTTACGAAAGGGATGCGTAAGGATTTTCCCGCATTTGCACATTTCAACTGTTGAATTTGTGTTCTCCACTTCTGTCAACTCATAGACAGACAGACAGGGGGCCCCGTCACACCGGAAATTGTCGTCCTCCGCTTGATAATCATTTCTTTTGTTCCCTCTGAGTGCAGATGTGGGTGCATATAGAGCAGATTCAGCTGCTTAATAGGGTTCGTTCGGCGGTGGTAGTAAAATCCTTGAAAACCTTCTCTCGTATGCACTTGATATCGTTGAATATGTGGGTCAGCCAGTATGGGCACATTATTAACGAATTTTCGATGTGCTGAATTCAACTCCTTCACACAATGGTTCTTCGTGCCACGCAGAACGGGAAGAGGAGGGAAGGGGTTGTGGGAAAAATTGAGGCTGTTATAGCTCGACCGTAATAATTAACACGTAGGCTCTTAATTGCGATTCAAAATTGCTTTATAGGAGGTATTAATGATCATTTGGAGGGGTCGAGTCTCAGTTCAGTTTTCAGGGGTTTCTCATTAATTTAATGATGAGAGTTGGGGAGATTTGGGCGGTGTCAATGATGCGGTGAAGATATTCGAGTATTTTGGCCATTTATTTCTCCCCTCAAGTCTTCAACAATTACAATTAAACGTCAGAGTTATCGGAGAAATCACGTTACCCGATACTTTTGGGTGCTTTCATTATTTCCAATCCGAAGGTTTAACAATGATTATATATTTATATAACTGTTGGGAAATATTTTTTTAATCGGAAATAATTAGAAAATTTCTTAGTTTTAAGATCGTGACATTCTTTTCGAAATAGGATTTGCAAACAATCAATTTTCGACTGCAAAAATCACATTTTCAAGACTCATATGAATGGGTATAGTGTTGAATGCTGAGTTGAGTCTTTTCGTTGACGCCTTCAACAATTATAGTTAAACTATTATCAGAGCCATCACGTCACCGAACATTTTTTAATGTTTATATTATTTCCCCTTTTAAGTTCTCACTGATTATGTATTTTAAGATGTTAGGGAACGTTTTTTATTAAATTCATTTAGAAATGAAGTTTCTGTAATTTTAAATAACATTTTTTTAGTGCAAATGAATTGACGAATTTGATGATCGAAAAATCCTGTACGGGAAAATTTCTACGAATGTAAATGATTAAAATGACATTTTATTGATCCAAGGAATGCCAACCAGAATTTCTGCACGATCTCGTACTCAAGATGAAAGCCTACATATTCACACCCGGTGACTCGATATGTCGAAAAGGTGAAGTTGCCAGAGAGATGTTTATCATAGCGGATGGAATACTCGAGGTGATCAGTGAAACTGGACGAGTGTTGACCACCATGAAGGCCGGCGACTTTTTCGGAGAAATTGGAATTCTCAATCTCGATGGACTGAATAAGTAAGCTCTTTTCCATTTCCTCCCTCCCAAATACCGAAGAGTACTTTTTCATTAACAGCTCACAAATTTTAACGTTTGTTTGTGAAAATTACGTTTCACAAGAGAAAATTCATCTCTCCCCTCACGTTTTTTCTCTCGATTATAGGGAAGGGAGCGCGCTTATCGCGCACATAAATCAGCCAGTGGTTTATGAATATTCTTTACAATCATTATGTATTTATTTATTCATTAAAAAATGAGTTAATATCCGCTCTCATTGCGTCGAGATTAGAGCAAAAAAAATTGAACCTTTTCCGACAAGCATATGAATAAAAAATTTTTGTTCACGATTTTTGTATTTAAATAAACAAATAAGTATCATTAATATTGCCGTTATTATTATTTATTCATTTATTTTCTAGATTCAAATAAAAACATTTTCTATATTATAAGTAATAATTATTTGTACAACGAAGAAAAAAATATTTCTTCAAATGTATTGATTTGTTCATGAATCATTGTTTTTAAAAATTAAGATGGGTAAAGATGTTGAGAAAAAAAAATTGCAAGCTAAGAAGAACGTGAATTATCCCGGAGAAAAAAAATTTACTTGAACTGAGTATATTTTATACTCGAATGGGGGATGGGTGTTTCAATTCGAGGATGATCATTTCGTATCAGCTCGGGGTATAGCAAGCGCTCTCAAGTGTAATATAAGGGTCAGACACTAAGTGTGAGAATATAAGGGTCAAAAAGTGGAGGTTAAAGAATGAGGGTCAGAATATTAGAGTCAAAAACTGAGGGTCTGAATGTAAAAGTGAAGGAATGAGGGTCAGAATTAATTAATGTTACGGTTAAAAAAGAGGGTCAGAATATTAGGATAAAAAAATTAGGCAATGAGGGTCATATAAGGGCTAAAAACGGTGACCAAGCATAATATATGACTTATATTTAGACCCTCATTGCCTGACACCCACTTTTTTTACTTTTATATTCTGACCGTAATGTTTTGACCCTGATATTCTGACCCTCATTTTTTAACCTCCACTTTTTGACCCTTATATTCTCACACTTAGTGTCTGACCCTTATATTACACTTAAGAGGGCTTGCTACAACCCGGCCTGATACAAAAGAATCATCTTCGAATTGGAATACCCATCCCCCGATTGAGTATAAAATATATTTGATTCAATGATATTAAATCCTATCGAAATGGATTGCTGACCGAAAACCGTGTGCCTACTTTGCACTAGAGGATCAAATAAAAATTCCTAAAATGTCTTTCGCCCTCGATCCGACTACCCGAATTGTTTCCTAATTTTTATCCGAACTTTCTTCCCCTCCAGGCGCACCGCCGATGTGAGATCAGTCGGCTACTCGGAGCTCTTCAGCTTATCGCGAGAGGACGTTCTAGCGGCGATGAAGGACTACCCCGAGGCCCAGGAGATTCTCCAGAACCTCGGTAGAAAGCGTCTGATGGAGGCGCAACGTGTCGCACGCGCATTTCGTCACGGCGTTCCAACATCCCCCGGTCACGACTCCTCCGACAACAGTACCGGTAAACGCATCGTTGATAAGCTGAAGAGTGACGTCAAAGGCCTGAAGAACGTTCTCCGAAAGAGTCGCCGTGTTGGCCGTCCAGACGAGTCAATGGAGCTGCAACCACTGGCCCCCAAAGTTCCCCCACTCCGCCGACAGCACAAGATTGATGACGATAGAATAGAGGAGACATCCGCCTCGGAGCCGCCGGTGTCTCCATTGGGTGCTGGACTTCCGCTTCTTGCGCGCCTTCGTTTGCTGAAGGAGAAGCAGGAACGCGAGGAGAAGCGTCACCTCATGGAGACACATGCGCACCCGAGCGACGTGACCCACTCAACGGTAGCTCAGCAGAGCTCTGCAGATCAGCTGAATCCGGCGAATCCAAATCTCCCACTTCTGCAGAGGATATTGCTCCTGAAAAACAAGACCGAGGTGGAGCCGGTGGTCGATAAGGAAGCGCCAGCGAAGGAGCCACTGCTGATGAAGAAAGTGAGCTCCGAGGAAACGCAGAGTGCCAAGTTACCAGTTGATACGCCAAAGAGTTCACCGGTATCAGTGGAGAATGGTAACTATGGAAGCAGTAAAAAGCCCTGGGTAATGCTGAAAAATGCTTCATTAACGGCCAGGGAGTCGGCGGTTTCCTCGCCGCAGATGATTAGCCCTCAGAGGAGGAGTCAGATTAAGCAGACTCTCGTGCAAATCCGACAGCAGACCAAAATGTATGCCTCTGTTGATGATCTTTCGCCTGAGTACTGTGGGCTTCCTTTTGTTAAGAAACTGAAGATACTCAATGAGAGGCAGAAGCTCGCTGAGCTGGAGAAGGCGGTGAGGAGCTCCAGTCTGGACTGCGGGGAGAATAATGAGGGGGGGTTCAATGGAAGCCTCACGAGGAGTCACTCAGAAGCTTGCGCCATTGAGTATGCCAGGAAATTAGCTAGATTTAATAAGGTGAGGGGTTTTCTACGGAATTCAATCATAGAGAAGAAGAGTTTCTCCTCTATCCGTTGGTCGGGAATGTTAAATTCTACGTGAAAACAACTCTTTTCCTGGAATTTTGGGATATTTCAGGGAAATACGAACTGATGTTGTAGTTTCTATCATTTTTCTGTCATTGTCCGAAAAATTGGGAAATTCCAGTCGTTGAGACAATCAATACAGGGTGACGTCAGCACCTTGTTTACAAATTTCAGGCAGATAGAATAGAAAATCGGGAATTGAATGGTACAGAAATTACTAAATTCCGATAATAGACTCTCAAATGGTGAACATTAGAATTCTGCAATACTCCAGCCAATTACATTGCGATTGACTACACGGAGAGAAATGTTCAGTAAAAATTACGGAATTCACCTTTCACTCACCGATTAAGAAATCGAAGAATCAGAAGATTTACTGTTCAGGAATATTCACTGTTCTATTGAGAATATGAGCTAATTCCTCACTAAATTTTTGTGAAACCTGAAAATTCAGAAACTTTACACGAATTCCAAATGTCCTGCATCGTAAAATTCAAATAGAAATGCTTTAAAGTGCACCAACTTCGATTTCAATCATTCGAATTCCTCTTAGAATACTCCCAATACCAGGTCAAATGAATAGACACGTGAATGCATGACGAGTATAAGCAGAGAGCTTTAGTAAGCCAATATAAATTAATTCCATTAAGGATGTTTAGCCACTGTCAGTAAATTTTCGGTAAATGTGTTTTTCTCATGGTCAAGAAAAATTCTTGTAATTGTTTCGGCTGACAGCAGAACATATAAAACTAACTTTTCTAACGTTAAAAAAAAATTAATCGTAATAGTCTCAGCAGAAATGAATAAACTAATTTTTCCTTATACACGGGCTCTTATAAAATTTATGTTCGAATTGATAATTCAGTAGCGAAGTGGTAAAACGCTTCAAGTCAATTTTGACTATTGACCAGTTTTCAATGAATGTCTCGAAATCTAAGGGAGATAGCAAAATTTTTGTTATATCCTTGTTTGGTGAGGAACTAGATTTAGGGTGGATTGGGAGGTTAGAGGATCGTCAGTGTGAAATAATTGTTGAGAGTCTTGAACTAATATCCACGTGTATTTATTCTCGAGTTCGAACCACGCTTTGTCAAATTTACAAAAACAGCTTATCACTTGTTGATCGTACTGAGTTAATTTAATTGTCTATCGGTTTTGCACTGTGAGTCACTGGTTGAATGGTCAACAAATAACGTGATTTTCTTTTACTGAATTTCTATCGCCGAGTTAATAGATGCTAATGTACTGTGGTCTAAACTCTACAGAATTGAATTCCATTCAAAACGTGCTATACGACAGACCGTGATGTACTGACTCGCGTTGATTTACGGTGACTCTACTAGGCCTGAGCGTTAACCCGGAAAGGGCCGATGATTTTCGTAATTGGCCGAGCTGATCGACCTTGGTCTTAGAGAGGTTGAGTTACGTTTCAAACAATCCTTTTTTGTAGAGCCAATTGAGAGCTACAACAAATGTAATTACGAAAATTTCGCTATTTTCCTTAGATTCGGAAATATTCCTCAAAAACTCAACTGGGAGATGAGTCGACTTAAAGCGTTTTATCACTTCGCTACTGAATGAACCTACTAGAAGACTCTAAAAATAGAACTAAAAATAGAAGGTAATGTGTAAAATCATACTGAATCCAATGACCAGACAAAAATCTCGCGTACCCGGGCAAAAAGATGAAATATTTGAATGATTCTATCCCATATAAGCGCACGTTAGCGCATGCATTAGGTGCATTTTGTCTATTTCATTTCTAAATAATGAACATGGGTTGGTGGATTGAATTTTGTATCAAAGTGAAGGGAATACCTTCATCTCTCAGTTGAAAAAAATCAGTTGTTTTCAGTACTTGCGATTTTGGATAAAAATCCTTAAATGAATACAAATAGCTTTCGTCCAATATAAATTCATCCAGTTCAACTTTCACTTCAATAAAATTGATTATTTCCCCACCAGGAGCATCCGAATTCCCAGTCGCCCTCCGACCCCCTCTCCCCCGAGAACGAGACCCTCGAGAGACGGAATCTGAAGAGCATCCTTAAAAAATTATCATCGGGAAGTAGAGCTGGAAGTACAGACACATCGACTGGCACAAGTACACCGGATCCAGATGTAGTGAGTGATGAGTTGAGAAAACTCATGAGGGCACAAACAATTGAGGGCTACGCCGCAAGGCACTCTAAATTATCAAAAAGTGTTACTTTCAATAAGTATACATTGCAGAGCCCTCCATCGGAGCAATTGCCAGTGGAAAAATACGCCGAAGAGAAGTTGTCGTTATCGCAGGAGCAAACCCCACTGCCACCGCCCAATAAAATTAGTTTCCGTCCTCTTGGCACTGGGGGAATACTGCAGATGGTGACGAGACACAGTGATGACGAGTATCTTGGCGATTTGGTCTTGGGCATACGGGAAGTCATACAAAAACGTCTGGTATGATGAATATAATCGGGGATATTCAAGTGGGAGTGTCCGATAGAATGAGCCTCATTACAGGGAGATTGGATGCAAGATTTCAGGATTAAGTCACAATCGAATTGGGGGACACTGTTATTGCAAAATGTCATTAATTACCCAGGATTACAGGACTTATTCGCTGATTACCACTAAGCGATGGTATCGTTACCCTGTTTACTAAGGACGCAGAATGTGATTGTATAATTACAAATGATTCGATCGATCGCGGAGAAAAAACGTTTTGATTTCTAGGGACGTGTCACTGATTTTTAGGAATCTATCATCAATTATTGATAATACTAGAGTATTATACTCTAGGTATTATAGTATTATAATACTAGAGTATTATCAATAATTGATGATAGACTAGAATGACACTGACTAGGATGATGCCGATTATTAGTGATAATGTTCCTAAAAATTAGTGACGCTTTCACTGGAAATTAGTGATGATGTCACTTAAAATTTCGCACTCACTGAATTTCACAATCGCGAAGTCGTAATAATGAAGGATAAAAATTCCTGACAATTAGGGACATGTCCCTGAAGATCAGAACTTTTTTTCTCCGTGATTACAATCAGTGATTACTAAACATTCGGAGTCATCGAAATCACAGGATAGTTCCTAATCGAATGTTAATAAAAAAAATTATATGTATTGCTTTGAAATTTTCAACAGGCATCGGCTAAAAGAATGCCAACAAAAATTCAATGAAATTTCCCACTAGGAATTCTCCTTTTCCTTCAATCCCCATTGAAATTATAGAATTTCGCGATGCATTTTTTGATAGATATATTCGATACAAAGTAATTCATATAAAACAACTCAAATTCTCTGACTTCTGTCTTCCGAATGCCAGTCAAAAAATCTTGTGTAATGCTTCGAAATTTCGACAAAAGTTCAATAAAGTTTTCTGCTAGAAGTGCTCTATTTTCCCGCCATCCTTACTGTAAATTACAGAATTTTGCTGTGCATTTTTTGGTAGAAAATAAGTTATACAAGTCAATCAAAATATATTGGTTTTTATCGACCAAATATCTGCGACATCACCATTCACAATCGACTAGAAGAATTCCACTAGGAATTGACTAAAATCCCCCACGTACACTGTTGACAATTTTTGTCTGAAATTTATGGTACTCTTTATGGAAATTTTTATCCAATTTAATTACCACTAAAATTTCAAGGAATTTCGTCTTTGAAAATTCTGAATTTCGTGGAAAAATCAACGAGAACTGTAAATTTCAGTTACATTCTTCCCTGAAAATGAATAGAAAACCAGAAAATTCCGCTAAATATATTCTTAAATTTTCATGACAGTGACACCGAATGCGATTTAGTGGTAAAAAAAATCATAAAATTTCAGATTTCACTGAAAATTCCATGTAATTTGGCACTGAATATCCATATTTGATTGGAACTTCAAATAAATTAAGGAATTATCGTCTTTACGCTGCTTAAGGGGAGACCATTATGAGTTTTAAAAGTCGCGAGTTATTGGAGTGAGATTTTTCATACGTTGAAGATCGATTATACAGATCTGAAAACGAATGATTAGTACAACAAAAAAAATTTTTTATTGTTCGTCTGCCCGAAAACGCTTAAAATGCTAAAAACAGTCCAGGGTCTCCAATTTTTGAGCTATAAAAGATTTTTTTTTCGAACTTTTCGAAAAAATATGTGAAACAACAATTACGAGCCAGTTTTTTGGAATTCGACTCCTACACAGCTGATTTTGGTTTTTCTCATATAAATAAATTCACTATTTGTGTAAAAAAATACAAAAAAAGCAAATTTAGCCATATAAGAGGCAAATTAAAAAAAAACTAGCTCGTAGTTGTTATTCCACATATTTTTCCGAAAATTTTGAAAAAAAAATTCCTTCGTAGCTCAAAAATTGGAGACTCTGGACTGTTTTTGGCATTTTAAACGTTTTCAGGCAAACGAACAATAAAAATAATTTTTTTTTGCACTAATTATTGGATTTCAGATCTATATAATTGATCTTCAACGTATGAAAAGTTTCACTTCAATAACCCACGACTTTGAAAACTCATAGTAGTCTTCCCTTAAAATTCTGGAATTTTACCAAATATTCAGTGAAACCTCAAATTTCCTGATTTTTCAACTCCCCTGAAATTTCATTATATTTCCAACAGTAAACCCCTAGGTTTTTCTCTCTCGAATTTCCTGGAACCCGCCCCACTTGAATATCCTCCACCCCCACCCCCCAGGAACTCTTCACTCACCACAATCTGTTTCAGGAGGGCATCCAAAGTAAATTCGAGCACCAATTCACATCCCTCGAGCTGGAAATCCGAAAGAGAGACGAGATAATATCCCAACTCCAAGCCCGAATCCAGGAATTAGAGCAGCGAGAATTACCGGGGAACGACTCCTGTGACGACAGTACAGAGCCAGACGTATCGATGGAGGAGGACGCAGTGGACGACGGTGAGGACCATCCCTTCATGCGAGACGGTTCCGTTGACACAGTTCTCGGTGGTACAAGACCAAGACTGAGGCGTTCGTCAACGGTGACGGAAGGTTCTCGACACCGTCGCTCCTGGGAGGAGCACTCCGAGGAGGAGACCCTCCAGCTCCAAGACCTTCCCCGTTCAATATCCCCGCAAAACATCTGGAAGGACGAAGTCGCCATTGATCTTGAATCCAACAGTGACGACAGCAAATCCGAGGACGACGCTGATCCCCCAGGTAGACGAAGAAGTGCTGACGATTACGCTGACGATGCACCTGGTCACAACAACTGGGAGGTGACAATGCTAGCTCAGGAGCTTGAGAACAGAAGACGTAACAGCGAGGGCTCAAGTCCTGGCTCCTAGCGCATTAACGAAATACTGGAATTGCTGTGTTATTACAAGAGGGGAATGCACTCGAAACGCCGGGGCAAAACAGCACGAAAGAGTGTCGGTGGAAGTACAAGTTTCAATGATGACGAGTTACCGTTTCCCGGTGTCTCGTGTTTCAATGGTTGCAATGAAACCATGATGTGAGGGACTACAATCATTCTCATTTATATGTTGATTAGTTATTATGTACGGGAGAAATTCATCGGAAAACTTGCACCATTGAACAGAATATTCACTTGCATTTCTGTTGGGAGTTCTATTATTTTTCTCGGTTGAAAATATTCTGCAGAAAGAATGAATCACTAATACTTCTCTGCAACCAGTTCTGTTGAGATTGTTTCTAGAAAAATTATTCGGTTCAAATATTCCAAAATGAATGAATTTTTGTGTCATGGGGTGTGTTGAAAGTTGGAAACATGATGAGCAATTTATCTTGAAACGTGAATTATCGAAAAACAACGTTTTTCACTTTTACCTTTCATCCGATTAATTTTTTAATATTGGTTAATCCCCAGAGAAAAGAGGTAGACATTAGTTTTACGATCCATTGAACGGATCGTAAAAAACCTTTTAAAAAATGAAAAATTAATGAGTCGATGTGAAAGGAATAAACGAAAAAAAAATTCTTCAATTTTTCCATGATCTGTACAATGAATGGTTACACGGATGCATACGGTCTATCGAACATTTTGAAACTTTAGGCACTTGAAGGATTTTAAGACTAAAAATGAGAAACGTCATCTTTATTGATTAATAGGGCAAAATAAATTATTGACATTTTTCTGGTTTTCAAACGTATTCCAGAATCTATCAATTCACATTTGTTCAACAAGTTACTAGCTGTAACGAGGACTTTGAAATTTCTCCGCGGTCCACGCATGAGAAAATTCACGATAACCTAGCGAATTCACTAGAAAATTCTACTGGAATTCTATAGGAATTTTATGGGGTTTCTATAGAATTTGTATTGGAATTCTATTGAAAAATTCTACTTCTTCTTTGCGCTGAGTCTATTGCATACTTGATAGGAAAAAGTCAATATATTTTGAATTTCTGCTCGAATTTCTCTTGGGTTTTTTTTTCTATTAGAATTATTGGGCACAAATAGAATTATTTGGAAACAAAAATATAGGAAATTGATACCCATTATAGAAAAAATCACAAGAGAAAAAATCAAACAGAAATTCGAAAATTATTGACTTTTCCTTATCGAATATCCAATAGAATCAGCGCAAAAAACAAATAGAATTTTTCAATAAAATTCCAATAAAAATCCTGTAGAAACCCCATAGAATTCCTATAGAATTCCAATAGAATTTTCTAGCGAATTCGCTAGGTTTTCTATGGAAATGTTTCATAAATGTCTCCCCTTAATGAGGAAAAAAAATCGTAAAAAAAACTCGAGAAATTTGTGTTGCGAGATATCTATAGAAAAACATCTCAACAGAACAAGTTGTACAAAATTATCAAAATCTATTGTTTTTCTTCTATAAAATACGTTCCATTTGAAAAATACCCGATAGCATTCTCCAACAAATACAGTGGGTCATCCCATGAATTTTTTCCCTACTTCATGTTATTAATTTTGTTGACTTTTATCTGATAAATTTATATAGTTTTTTCAAAGTCAAACCATTGATAATGAAATGCACAATTGTGACTGGATAGATTAATCAATCTCGAGATACTTAGGATAGATTTGTAGGTATTTTTTATTTATAATCAAATTATCGGTGATTGCGTTTCATACGGTGTGAGGGATAATGTGAATTTTCATCGAATAAATAGTGTGAGTGGACCTCCTCAGGGTGGAACTGTTATAATCGTTCTCATTGTCGACTGTAAATACTCACAGGTGCCTGAGCGTACAGAATACTTGGGGTACAACTGAAACATGATTGAGTTGTTATGGATAAGTGTTTCTGTTTGTAGATGAAGAACAAATCTAGAGGATTTAATTTGTTTCTATGCATCATGTTAAAATTGTTTGAGATGTTATGTCAGGGTTTAGAATATCAGAGAAAACTGCAATCATTCGTGTGAAAGGTAGATGCACTGGTGATCCATCGAATCAATTCATTTTTGTATTTTCGAGTTTTGAATGATTTAGAAATAAATTCAGACGCGAATATTGGGGTATGAGGGAGAGATTTAGCGAGTGGGAGGGGATAATTCCGACCAAAGTCTCGTAAAATACGTTCATAGGTAATTAAATAACATCTCAAAGGCAGTAGAGAATCACTGGAACGAGTTAATTCGACAAGTTACTTCCGTTTAAAGTTTCGTTGGGAAGGTGGGGGGTGGGGGTGGCAGTAGTATTTAACAATTGTTGAAAATTCTGATAATGATTTAACAAACACAAAGAGCAAGTATAATTTATATCAATACTGAAAGAAGAAAAGATAAATGCACTTGAATATATTTATTGTATACTGATACTACCAGACCAAGCTCAATATTTCTAGAGTCTTTACAAGAATGTCTCGTGTGTGTGAGTGAGTGGAATTAATGTCGAATAATTAAAGGGGAATAACTTGCCGATTGAGCATAAACATAATACAAATGTGAATTAAAATATTGAGGGAGAACAATTAATGAAACATTGTAAATATTAGACTACGATTTATTTATTTATGAACAAATGAGAGTGAATGGGAGATACAAAAGACTCATCACATGTGTAATAGGGTGGGAATGAAAATCGATGAGGGGTGGGGGGTTAACAATTGTGAGGGAACGTTCTATTAAAGTGGAGAGAGTGTATGTAATTTGCGGACGAAGAGAATATACAATAAAGCGAACTGTTTTCAAATTTTCACGAGTCAATTTAATTATCCCACTCGCAAATTCTATTCCGTTTTACTTTACTGGTTTATTTTTCATTCTGAAGGAGGGAAGTGAGAGTACCCTCGAGGGATAAGAGGGATATCTCACGGAAGATTTATAAAATCAGATTTACGAAGTGCTCTCTTGTAAAATTCAGGACACGAATGTAAATTGTGTACAAGTGAATGTGCCCACACATCCCATAATGCAAATGCCTTAGCCAAGCAATTTTTCTTTACCCCTCCAACTCGCCGAGATTATCTAGACACTCAGTTATTCATTATACGGATATCAAGAGTGTTTCTTTTTTCTATAGAATTTAAAAAAATTGAGATTTTGTAGCTGTGAAATTGAAATGTTCGTCGTTATCTCTATTATATTAGTTTTTAATTCAATGGTTGGGCACAGGTGTCAATCCCCTTGTCCTGGATTCTTTCGTTATGCTCTTGATAATAGAACGAGAGAAGTATTCGGGAGAATTGAAATTCCACACCCACCGAGGAATGTGCCTATTCAGCTTCGTGTCAGCTTGAGTATTGCCACTGTTCTACCTACGGTAATGAATTCATGACAGAAATATTCATTGATGAAAAGTTGAGTCAATGAGGAGAGAAAGATATTTTGGAATGAAGAATGCGTTTTTTTCATTCAAACATACGAGAATTCTTGAATTAAATTTTGTTTTTTACATTCCTAATTCAAGAACGATTCTTCTTCATTCAAGATTACTCATTATTGATTACAGAATTCGAGGTTAACATAGAATTGTTTTATTGCTAGATAAGAAAATCGAATAGAAAATCTCGGAAACGTACTGTTTTATTTCAATAGATAACGAAAAATTCATTTGTTATGGACGACTGACAATTCTTTGTTTTTCATGGTTTTATAAAATAAAAAATACGTATCTGATATTTAATTCAATTTCATATTTCGTATTCAATTTCGTTTTTCGTGGTTTTTGTATCCAGTAAATATTACACGCACAAAAAAATTTCCTAGAAACACCTAGCGAGTAGAAATTTGTATTGAACTTTTATTGAAAATTGTATTAGTCTTATGCCGAGTCTATTGAAAAATTCTGCAGCTTACCGCACAGATTTTTTTTATAGAAAATGTCCAATGGAACCTATTTTGATGTAAATTAAAGACCTGTAAATTTCATCTTTTTACACAACTTTTTATATTCAGTCATCTTCTACAGGAATTCTTTGATATTATTTTTTTACATTTTTCCCACTCCATTGGTCTTCTTTTGAACTGAGCAATTTCCATCGAAAACACCTTAATAGTATAAGTTGTATTGAAAAATCGAATTCTATTGATTTCTTTAATCGAATATTTTTCAATGACCATTCCGTTTTTTAAAGCGTAGATAAACGGTGAAATTTTTCAATATAATCGGCTAAAAAATAATAGAAATCCATGGAATCCAATAGAAATCTCTAGCGAATCCCCCAGGTTTTCCTATAATCTTTTCATAGATGCATGTTACAATCAAATTCTTGAACAGGCGACGTTCACTTCAATTAAATACTTTCAAAATTATTGACTAAAAAACCTTGTATTACATAAATATTATAAATATTTTACATTAATTACAGCAATACGTTGGTAAAATTGAATTAGCCAAATCCCGTCAAGAATCCGTGAAAGCCATAGAAGCAGGTCAACCCCTGACGTATAATATTTTCTTCCCACTCCAGCACCCACTGCCCTCGCTCACCGAAATATTGTTCAACAATTACCAATACTGCCTAGGACGCCGAGGTATTAATTTCCCCCCCGGGAACCGATGCGATTAAAATTAATGAATCGTTGATAATAATGAATAAATTGCTTTCAGCGAACGCTCCAGTGGTAACGAATATCTTCCTGGAGCATTATCTATACCCAGCGGGAGTTAATCCAGGATTGAATGCTGCATCACAAAGTAACAACAATAATCCGGAGAATCCATTCAATCACAAAGAATTGGAGAATTATCCATTTTCTGATGAAAAATACCCAATCACGCCATCGTTTTCATTACCCACCGGCCAGCCCCCCACCCACCGACCCCCCACTGCAGCCCCAGCGGAGCCACTCTTCGATTCCACTCTATTGAATTTTTATCAGGATGAAAATTGTGGAAAATCCAACAATGTTGATCGTTCAACGACTAACGACACGCGGACGTATCCCGGTCAGTGGCCGTGGCTGGTCGCCATCTTCGTCGCTCGCTACAACTTTGAGTTTCAATGCTCCGGGAATTTAATAACAGATAAACATATACTGACAGGTAATTGGTGATCATTCAACCCGATGATAGTACACTTCGATATGAGTGCGTAATTAGTATATTTCGTCATACGGCCAAAAAAAACTTTTCTGGCGAATATGATTGTAGCCCTTGCCTTCGGCTCGTGCCGCAAACCTCATATTGGCCAGAAAATTTTTTTTCATCACGCTGTGACTGTGAATTTCCGCCACATTGTAATGAAAAATATTGTTCATAACTCGTGAAAAAATGTTTTTTAGCACTCGTTACGAAATATACTATTTCGGCCTAATGACGAAATATACTATTTTGTCATGACGGCCTGTCGGCAGAGATTCACGGACGCTCCCCGAAATGCTGCCTTACGGCCGAAATGACAAAAAGTATATTTCGACACGAGTGAGACGGAATTTTTACGAGTGTGAAGTTGGCGGCCCGAGGGGAAGGCGAGGGCTGTCAATCGCCCTCAGACGCTACGCGTCCGTGAATCGCTGCTTACAGCCGTTATGACAAAAAATATTGCTCGTCATACGGTCGAAAAACACTTTTCTAGCTCATATGATTGCAGCCCGAGCCGAAGGCGAGGGAAACTCATATTCGCCAGAAAAGTTTTTTCGGCCTAATGACGAAAAATGCTATTTTGTCGTAACGGCTGTAAGCAGCCTTACGGTCGGAATGACAAAATAGTATATTTCGTCATTAGGCCGAAAAAACATTTTTTCACGAGTTACGAACAATATTTTTCATCACAATGTGGCGGAAATTGGACTTTTAGGCACGCGGAGCGTGCCGAAAAGTTCACTTTTCGTCACAGCGTGATGAAAAAACTTTTCCAGCTCTATGATTGTAACCCTCGCCTTCGGCTCGGGCTGCAAACTCATATCCGCCAGAAATCGTATTTTTTATTCGTATGGTTGGCCAGTCCTCGCCTTCTGCTCAGACACCAATGCCATACGAGTAAAAAAACCCCAACTAAAAAACTAAAAAATCCCGACTAAAAAAACCCCAAGCGCCCTAGACAAAATTTTTTTGTAGTGATTTTCAAGTGTCCGAGTTTGGAAAGTATGCTACAATGAGCCAAAACTTGAAATTGTTATCTACAAATTTCACTGTATTTATGTTGAATTTTATAAAAATTCATCACCAAAAATCATATGACCTCCATATGACCCCCATATAATCCCTATATAACCCTCATCAAACTGTTATGTGACCTCATATGACCGAACCTCATATACCGGCCTGATATGATTTCCATATGACCCCCATATTACCCTTAAATAACTCTCATATGACCCTTCATGACCCACGTGACCCCCATATGATACGTTTCACCCTCATTGTGACCCTTATGCCCCTAAATTTTATAGAAAATCGTGTTGAAAATCTCATGAAATCCTATAAGAAATCCTATCCGGAAAATCCTATACACTGAGAAAATAAATTTCTAATATCTGAAACATATTTTCTTGAGAGAATTAAATTATTTTCAATGGCTTAAATCTCAAAATGTGTGCACTTCACGGAACTCAAATAAATTTTCATTCATCACTATCGTTCCGCGTTACGCCATGACTATTTTACATATTGCAATATTGGAAGTGCATAACGAAAAAATCATGAAAACAATAAACACGAGAAGATTGACGATTCTTCTACGCGATTTAAGTAAGTTCATTTGCGACAAAATCATACTTCAGTACAAGAATATTTTAAAGCATGAGGCCTTTCTTGGGTTATGTGAGTTGAAATGTCCGAGAGAATTAAGCAATTGAAGAAAATTTACTTGTCTCAAGAAAATATGTTTCAGACATTAGAAAATTTTTTTCTCAGTGTAGGAAATGTCGGAATTCTCCATAGGGTTTCCTATCGGAAATCCTATAGGATTTTTTCATACGTGATCATTCGATTCAAGTGGCAATTTCGCAGCAGCCCACTGTATGATCTCAAATGGCGACGAAATCCCAGCGAATTTATTATTAATCTCCCTTGGGCGCTACCGACTGGATCACTGGAATGAACCCAGTGCTGTTACCCGTGAAGTTCTGGAATTTGTTATTCATCCGGAGTACACTAATAGAGGGAGTGCTCATGCTGATTTAGCGATTCTGGCCCTCAGGGAGAGGGTTCAGATGAATCGGAGAATTAAGCCGGTGTGTCTGTGGACTGGTGCTACTGCGTTGGAGTGGGTAGTGGGGAAAATGGGGTATGTCGTGGGATGGGGAAAGGATGAGAATGGAGATCAACATCTGGGGGAGCCCAGGCAGGCACGAGTGCCCATTGTTTCACAAGTAAATTTCATTATCCTCACTAACTTAGTGATATGTAAACTTTTGGTTATCTGCCCCTCTTTTTTAGCGACTGATCCAAATCGTCTTTGCAATAAGAGATTTTTCCCCTCAAATTGGAAGAAAAAGTACTAGGGGAGCTGGTGGACCTACCGCCCACCTAAGGGAAGTGAGTCTGTTTTTCCAGCCTCGCACTATACAAGGAGTCATAAACGGTTAGAGTGGGTTCTTCGAGGTGTTTACTCGAAGATGTTAAGAGGACAGTTTTTATTAACATTAAACATATTTATCCCGGTGGCTTGGCGCAGTGGGTAAGTTCGTGGCCTCACATGCGAAAGGTTCCGAGTTCAAATCTCGGCCGGGTAGAATGGTGTGATCTAACCATTTTTTAAAGTCTTGATCATCATCGCAGTATACCCTAACCGGGTCGAAGCGATGTAAAATAACGATAAAAAAAATTACACATATTTAATTATGTAATTCAATTGCTATCGGCCAGTGAGCAATTGAAACGAACTTTGAGGGTAATACCACCCGGCATGCGCCCAATACACTGTTAGAAAATTACACTTGAAATTTCAAGTGGAAAAGCTTGAAATTTTTAACAATGACAAAGTTACATGAAATTTCTGTAGAACTCTTTATTGACGAATCAGTTAATTTCTTGAATATTCAAGTAATTCTCGATTTTCAGGTCCATACGGTAGTGAAAAACCTTGAAAATTTGGAAAATTCAGACAATAACTTCTCTGATTTTTCAATCTATTGAAAATAGAATTGTAAATTGTAAATTCTGTCTAAATTGTAAAATCTATTGAAAATGGAATAGTGAATTGTAAATTGTAAAATCAATGATCGTTTAACATGAAAAACCCAATTTTCTTGAATTTTCAAGATGAATGAGAAATTTAGAGGACGTTTTCAATTGAAATTGAATTCAAACTCACAACATTGAAAATTCACATGAAATTGTGACTGAAATTTCAAGAAATTTCTAACAATGTACCCACCTTATTTTGATGACTGTTTTGACAAATGCAGACCAACTGTTATAATTTTTCCTATTTTCGTTCTTCGTTTCCATTCTTTGGCTCCATTTTGAGAAAGACTTCACGTGAGAAATAATAAATTATCCTGAATTTACCCGATGTTCCCGTGGCCACCGACTACCCCACACAATCGAGCTTTTACTCGACCGCCTTCTAGTTGCAGAGTCTAGCAGCCCTATAGAAATCTTAGGCGGGATTACCCGCAAACTCTGGGGAATTACCCACAAACACGTCGCCGGATAAAATAACCAATAACAACTGATGGAGATATTTTTCTGCTATCGAAGACGTCGCAATGGATGTGGAAATGTATAACGAACATATATTTCGCACTCCATTCAATTATGGCTCAACTAGAAATTTGAAAAATCTTAAATTCTGGGGTTGAAATATTTTTAGAATTCGGTACGAAATGATTTTGATTTTTTTTTTAACGACGTTTTCACGGTAGAAAATTAAAAATTTCTGTTGAAATTACTTGTTGTTATCGAATGTTTGCATAATATAAAAAAAGAAAAGAATTTCTTTCTCAGCCAATCTTGAGAAATACGGGTGGGCGGTATTACCCGCTGGGCGGTACAGGCACCAGCTCCCCTAAAACGCATTATCGAAAGTCTATTGATAGTAATGAGATTGAATCGAAATGTTAAATAGGACACATTCCGTGAAAAAAATCAATAGAATTTGATTTTTCTAGGGGAGGGTAGGGCAAAACGGACCACTGACAGAAAATTGGTAATTTTTGTTTTTTTTTCTTTCCTTCAAATCAGGAACACTGAATGTGTTGAATGAAAAGTGAGTTTCTTGGATCGTAACCGTCACAGGGGTTTCATAGACAACAAGTGTCGTCGAACCGCGATTTGATCAGATTTGCTAATCACCTCAAACCACAAATGACTTCGAATTTGCTCCATTCGGAAGCAAAAACGAAAATTATCAATTTTCTGTCAGTGGTCCGTGTTGCCGTGAGGTCCATTTTGCCCGCCTGGCCCGTTTTGTCCTACGCTCCCCTATATAATGTTTTACTTAAAGATTTGCTACAAATTCCTCAACTGATTTTTTTTATGAAGAAAGAAGAAGAATAGAGTGAAAAACAGATAGAAAACTTTTGTTTTTCTTAATTCCAATAAACTCGTCTCGTTGTCCAATTCTCCCATCAATTTTCCGTTTCGTAATTTCAGGAGGACTGTCTCCGGAGTAATTTGAAATTCGTTAGATCCGGGTCGTCCACCTCCAACAAAACCTTCTGCGCCGGTCGGCGAGATGGCAGTGGACCGTGTAACGGGGACAGTGGCACTGGTTTAATGATTCATGATCAGACCACCGATAGATATTACCTGCGCGGAGTCCTATCGTTTTCACTTCTAGATGAAAACATGCGCTCCTGTGATTTATCAAGTTACGTTGTCTACGTCGATGCCGCTAAATTCTTAAAATGGATCCACATTCAAATTTTGTAATTAATTAATTGTATGGATTTTGTTAACCCGAGAGAGCGCACAATAAAAGACTGATGAGTTAAATCAGTGGAAAAAATGTGCAAATTCATAAAACAACAGGTTCATCTTTAATTCACCCATTTTTTTCTGAAATTCTGGTGTAATTGTACTTATATTAAGAATATCCAAATATCTTTTACATTTTGTTACAGACCACATTATCGATTCAACCATTTTCAAGTATCAAATTTGTCAATTAAATTGCGTGAGAAAATTTTTTAAAAAAATCATGAATATCCTAATCATGAATATAGCGTCATTCAAATTAGATTTTGCACAGAATTATTTTTTAAAACATTAGTTGTTTATAAATAAATAATTGAAATTGTTTAAACTTTCGAAAACCTAAGTTTTTAGGCATGAAATCGATTACTGGTAAAATTCTGAATATGAATAAATTTGTTACGATTCCCAACAAATGATTTTTATGGTGGAAAAATGATTGTTTATAAATTATTTACAGAAAATGCTTGTAATTTTCAAAAATTGCAATTTTTCAATTATTTCATTAATCTCTGTTAAAAATAAACGTTCTAATTTTTTTCAGATTTCTAAAATGTTTTCAAACGGTTCAATATCGAGATTCAAATTCAGACCTGCAAAGTTTAAATAATGAAATCGTTGTAAAATGTTTGGAAAATTAGGGTCAAATGGGGCTCAAATGAGAGCTCTGATGTTTGAGTACAAAAGTAGAAAAGCATTTCACCGGAGAATAAATAGCCAAAGTACTTGGATATTCTTAAAGCACATTTTCTCTCATTTCAAGGTATTCGTGGTTCCGGAATTCACATGTCTGTCGTCTCAGATTATCTTCATTAATTTTGGTGGGACAACGAAACCCCGTTCCTCCCTTCATTAATGCTAGAACAAAAATCTCTAAAATTCAGTACCAAAAATCCGCTAATTTTAAGAGCTAAAAGTTGAGTTAAACGATACAAATCAACAAGCATTGGGTTCTTGAAATCAGTGGTTTAATCATTCATGATCAGACCACCGGTGGACATTACCTACGCGGAATTCTATCGTTCTCGATGTCGGATCAAAACATGTGCTTCTACGATTTATCGAATTATATTGTCTATGTCGATGCCGCAAAATTCAAAAAAATACACATCTAAATTTTGTAATTAATTCTCTATATGAATTTTGTTAACCCGAGAGAGCGCATAATAAAAAGAATAATGAGTTAAATCCGTGGAAAAAAATGCAAATTCACAGAAACAACAGATTCATCCTTAATTCTCCCACTTTTTTCTAAAATTCTAGAATAATTGTACTTATGTTAAAGCACATTGTCTCTCATTTCAAAGTATTCTTGGTTCTGGAATTCAAATGTTTATCGGCACAGATTATCTTTAATAATTGTGGTGGAACAACGCAACTCTGTTCCTGCCTTCATTAATTCCAAAACAAAAATCTCTGAAATTCAGTACCAAAAATCCGATAATTTTAAGAGCTAAAAGTTGAGTTAAAAAATACGAATCAACAAGGATTGGGGTCTCGAAATCAGTGGTTTAATCATTCATGATCAGACCACCGGTGGATATTACCTACACGGAATTCTATCGTTTTCGATTAGAAAACGTATTTATTCTCCTATGATTTATCGAATTACATTGTCTATGCCGATGCCGCTAAATGAAAAATTTATCGGCATGGATTAAATCACTGATTTCGAGAACCCAATCCTTTTTGATTCGTATCTTTTAACTCAACTTTTCACATCAAAAAAATCACATCCAAATTTTGTAGTTAATTCTCTGTATAAATTTTATGAACCCGAGAGACCGCACAATAAAAAGACTGATAAGTTATATCTGTGGAAAAAATGTACAAATTCTTAAAACAACAGGTTCATCCTTGATTCTCACAATTTTTTCTAAAAAATAGAAAAAAGTGGAATTGTCAGTCATTTTTTCTAAAATCTAGTATAAATCAGTAGCGAAGTGATAAAGCGGTACAAGTCAATTTTCACTAATGACCAGTTTTCAATTAATATCTCGGAATCTCAGGGAGATAGCAAAATTGTTGTTATAACCTTTTTTGTAGAGTCGATTAAGTGCTACAACAAATATAACGATGAAAATTTCGCTATATCCCCTAGATTCTGAAATATTCCTCAGGAACTCAACTGGGAGATAAGTCGACTTAAACCGTTTTACCACTTTGCTCGTGAATTGTACTTACGTTGAAGCATATTTTGTCTCATTTCAAGACATTCGTGATTCTGGAATTCAAAATCTTGGGGTTCTTGAGTTAACACGTTTGTCTTCTCACATTATCTTCATTAATTGTAATGTAACAAGGCCCTGTTCCCCCTTCATTAATTCCGGAAGAAAACTCATTTCAAGAGATAAAAGTTTTCAACTCAACAACCATTGGATTATACACATCCGAATTTTATAATTAATTCTCTATATGCATTCCGTTAACCCCAGAGAGCGCATAGTAAAAAGACGGATGAGTTATATCAGTGGAAAAAGAATCTGTGCAAATTTATAAAACAACAGGTTCACCATTAATTCTCACTCCAACTCCATTTCCATTTCGCTCCATAATTCTTCAACAATTAATTGAGCACTCGACAATAGCCTCGTGTATCAACAATGGCCACCGACAGTTGGAAATTCTCCAGTAATTCGTTATCGCAAGTCCATAAAACCACAGTCAATGCAATCGGCTTTTCTGTCAATGATTTAATTAAAGCTTTCACTAGACGGGATATCGAATTATAATTTACTATATGCCGATACTGAGACGTATGCTCACGATAAAACTGAGCTCAGGCATCTGCTTCTTGGCGACTAACCGAGTTTCGCGAGTGGGTAATACCCTCGGGAAAGAAGTTGATGCCATGTATCAACTCCACGCAACTCTATTACCCCTCGTTCTGACAATATTTCCTGTCCTGTCAGTGGAGGTCGCAGATGTGAGTGGACCAACGCGAGAGTAAGAAACTTAATTCAATGAAATTTGTTACTCAATGATAAATTATACATCCATTGATTCTTGGGGAACGATATTGCGTCGAGAATTTACTGTTTTCTTGGGACAAAAGTGGGAAAATTTTTCATTAAGAAATAATTTAGTCGTCGATAGAAAGAGAAAGAATGAATTACTCGTGAGGGATTGGGAGGAGAGGGGAGGGATTTGGAAAATTTCACTTGGAAATCCGATAACTGCCTTTGTGCTCAATTTCAGGTTGATTATTTAGAAGAAAAGAGTTCGGCGCTCGCTTTTTACGGAAGTTTAGCATCTTTTCCATTTTAATCACTTGGTATCGTATTTCCTGAGAAACTTTTATAACAATGCAGGTGCAGAATTTTGATGCATAATTGGCATAAAATAATGTAGAAACGGGCATGAAAAAAATTAGCATGTCGGGAGTGCAGGTTTTTACAGCGAAACATTTTTTCGAGCTGACAGAGACAGGAATTGACATTTTCCATGTGAGAATAAAATTTTGATTTTTAAAAATTAGGAGGACATTCTTAAACTTAAATACGGAAATTTTCAAGTAGAGAATAAATATTCAAAATATTTATTCACGGAAAAAAATATACTTGAATTGAGTATATATTATACTCCAGTGGGGGATGAGTGTTTCAATTCGAGGATGATTATTTCATATGAGCCCGGGTTGTACCAAGCGTTCGCAAGTTAAATATAAGGGTCAGACACTAAGTGTGAGAATTTAAGGGTCAAAAAGTGGTGGTTAAAAAATGAGGGTAGGAATATTAGAGTCAAAAACTGAGGGCCTGAATCTAAAGGTAAAGCAATGAGGGTCAGAATGTCAGGGTTAAAAAACAGGATGTCAGGCAATGAGGGTCATATAAGGGCTCAAAACGGTGATCAAGCATAATATATGACTCATATTTAGACCATCATTGCCTGACACCCACTTTTTTTACTTTTATATTCTGACCCTAATATTCTGACCCTCATTTTTTAACCTCTACTTTTTGACTCTTATATTGTGACACTTAGTGCCTGACCCTTATATTACACTTAAGAGGGCTTGCTACAACCCCGCCTGATACAAAAGAATCATCTTCGAATTGAAATACCCATCCCCCAATTGAGTATAAAATATACTGGAATCAAGTATATTCTATTTTTAATTCGAATACACTGTTGGAATTTTTTTAGTAAATCTCATGAGAGTGACATTGAATCGGATTTAGGGAAAAAATGGTCATAAAATTTTTGTGTTTTGAGTGAGATGGATTTCACAACTTGATTAAATTTTCAGTGGAACATGAATATTCAGAAACAAAATGACATGAATTTTCAATTTTTCCCTGAGTTTTCCTGATTTTTCTGAATTTTTACAGAATAATTGAACTGAAAAATCGAGCATTTTATTGATTTCCAGATCATTTGAACAGAAAAGCAATGGAATATTTGATTTTTCAATGACGAGATTCCCTGAAATTTCAGTAGAACTTGAACACGATAATAATTTGCGGAATTTGGCACGGAAAATTCAGACGAAAATTTTCAACAGTGAATAACATATCCTTAATTCAAGTATATTTTATACTCAATTCAGATATATATATTTTCCGTCATTCTTTAATAAAAAATTCCCGAATTCTCAACTAAAGACAGTAGAAGTAAATTCGTCATTCGCGAAGTGACCAATTCAAGAATAATAATAAGCACTCAAACTCGATCTAAGAATGAATTTTCCATAAAAAAAAATCTCGACTAAAAATCCATTTTCCGTCCACGCAGGCAAATTAAAGGTGCCCTCCAGACAGTCGGAAAATTCCTAAAGGACGATGCCGGTAGCAGTTGGTTAGCAAGTGTGTCACACAATCAGGACGATGCTCTAACTACTGAAGAATTAATGCGCGAGATCATAAATTCCACGGGATCCGATGGTGTTAGAGAAGCCGCCGGACTTATCTCCCTCGCTCTTGAGCTGCAGAAATCCGTTGGAAAAGCTAATGAATCATTGACGGTTAAGCCCGAGGAATTAAAGGAATTCGTTGAAACTATCGCAGACAGAGACGACGTAATGTGCCTTTATCGAACGAAGTCCGAAGTACCGACACGGAGGGTGGAGGATTGGAAGAAAACTGTGAAGAGTGAGGGCTTGAATGGATACAGTGCATATGTTGCCTTGGACACAGGTATTCAAGAAGTCCTGTGTTTGAAAAAAAATTCCCTCGCAATTCCTTCGACCGATGAGGCGATAACTGTTAATCGACCCCCGGAAACTTCGTCAATCCTTCCTGAAGAGCTTCCCAAACCTCCCCCAATAACTCCTGGAAATGAAACAATGAATGTTCCTGATGAAGTGGACGTGAATAATCCACTGGTTAATGAAGACGAAGGAACTGTTGGAAAATCTCCTAACGAAGAGTGCGGCAGTGACTCCAATCCTTGTACTTCTCCCATTTCCTCCAATTCATCTGCATCTGATTTGGAATCAGTTGAAGCCCTACCTGCGCTCGAAGCCCCGAATGTGGAGGAGGAAATGCCGATGGAGGTAAAAATGAGATCCATGAGTGGAGGAAGTGATGGATCAGTGAGCGATAAAATGAAGGGGGAGAATCCCTGCAGTCATCAAGATGACGACGTGAGGAATTTCGTGAAGAACAGATCTTCGAAGGATGCCTCCAGCGAAAACAGATCGTACGAATCCGGTAATTATGCACTACACATCTGCCCATTTCACAAAATTTGTCGGGAGGTAAAAGCTCACGAGAGGCAGTACGGATTAATGAATATTCCCTCACATTCGCCATTGAATAATGAGCCTCTGGAGAGATTATTAAATCCACAAGCACAACATTCACGATTTTCACGTAACGGAAATGGATTTGTGAAGAATTTATATGATAACGGGATTTTAACACATCAAGGATATTCCAAGCACATGAATACGTATTTCATTCTGCGGAATAGAAATAGTGAGGAGGTGGACGGAGATTCGAATCCATTTGATTCGGGAGATCATCAAAATTCCGTCTCCTCGCGGCAGCCTGTCAGACCTTCATCAGAATTTGTTGCCGGTCAGTTGCGGAGGGGAGGGTATCCCTGGATACTTCTGGACCCGCAGAGTGTCCTTGCCCGAAGTTTCTCGGATCTCGATTTTAGACAGATCGACACGTCAGGGAATCAAGAAAATGACAATTCTGGGGGTGAGGGAAAGGGTAAAATGCTGAGCATCAAAGTTTTCGTCAATAATCCGTCCAAAGAGCCTGTGAAACTGTCAATTTACACTCATCTCGATCCGGAAATTGAGCTTTATCATAATAAAGAGGAAGTTGGGGATAATGAGATGAGTCAATTCAAATTAAAAATGTTTAAACAACACCGTGATAGTGCGCAGGAGAAGAGAGAGGATAAATTAATTACAGAAGTTGATAAGCAGGATTATAAACACACTTTTGATGCATTGATGGATTTATTAACTTCAGGAGATTGAGGTTGATGGATCGAATTTGTAGTCGTGTGTGTATTCTTGTCGATTGGAGGTTTTATCACCGGAAATGTACGCGAAAAAATTATTCTTGAATATAAAATTTACGAAAGATATTCTGGAGTATTTTGTAACTAATTTGTGCGATTTGTGGAGGTAAATCAGACGAGTTTTCTATCTTTCTGCATTCTATTTCTCGTGAATTCGCGGAAAACGGAAATCCAAATGTTGTTTCAAATTTTTTGTCAATAATGCGCCTGTGACACTGTGAATTTATGCGGATCTCTAAATCCGGAAATTGAAGTTTATCACAATAAGGAGGGATAATGAGATGAGTCGGTCCAAATCAAAGATGTTTAAACAACACCGTGATAGTGCGCAGGAGAAGAGAGAGGATAAATTAATTACAGAAGTTGATAAGCAGGATTATAAACACACTTTTGATGCATTGATGGATTTATTAACTTCAGGAGATTGAGGTTGATGGATCGAATTTGTAGTCGTGTGTGTATTCTTGTCGATTGGAGGTTCTATCACCGAAAATGTACGCAAAAAAATTATTCTTGAATATAAAATTTACGAAAGATATTCTGGAGTATTTTGTAACTAATTTGTGCGATTTGTGGAGGTAAATCAGACCAGTTTTCTATCTTTCTGCATTCTATTTCTCGTGAATTCGCGGAAAACGAAAATCCAAATGTTGCCTCAAAGTTTTCGTCAATAATCCGTCTAAAGGGCCTGTGAAACTGTTAATTTACACTCATCTCGATCCGAAAATTGAGGTTTATCGTAATAAGGAGGAAGTTGGGGATAATGAGATGAGTCAGTTCAAATTAAAAATGTTTAAACAACACCGTGATAGTGCGCCGGAGAAGAGAGAGGATAAATTAATTACAGAAGTTGATAAACCGGATTATAAACACACTTTTGATGCATTGATGGATTTATTAACTTCAGGAGATTGAGGTTGATGGATTGAATTTGTAGTCGTGTGTGTATTCTTGTCGATTGGAGGTTTTATCACCGGAAATGTACGCGAAAAAATTATTCTTGAATATAAAATTTACGAAAGATATTCTGGAGTATTTTGTAACTAATTTGTGCGATTTGTGGAGGTAAATCAGACGAGTTTTCTATCTTTCTGCATTCTATTTCTCGTGAATTCGCGGAAAACGGAAATCCAAATGTTGTTTCAAATTTTTTGTCAATAATGCGCCTGTGACACTGTGAATTTATGCGGATCTCTAAATCCGGAAATTGAGGTTGATGACAATAAGGAGGGAGTTGGGGATAATGAGATGAGTCGGTCCAAATCAAAGATGTTGAAACAACATGGTGAGGGTGTGCAGGAAGAGAGTGGGGATAAATTAATTACTGAAGTTGATAAACAGGATTATAAACATACTTTTGATGTATCGATGGATTTATTAACTTCAGGAGATTGACGTTGATGGATTGGATTTGTAGTCGTGTGTATATTCTCGTGGATTAGAGGATTTATCACCGGAAAAGTGCGCGAAAAAATTATTCTTGAATATAAAATTTACGAAAGATACTCTTGAATATTTCGTGACTAATTTTTGCGATTCGGAGAGATACATCAGACCAGTTTTCTATCTTTCTTCATTCTGTTTTGTCGTGAATTCACAGAAACGGAAGTTTAAATGTCTCCAAATTTTTGTCAATAATCCGCCTGTGACACTGTGAATTTATACTGATCTCGATCCGGAAATTGCGGTTTATCACAATAAGGAAGGAGTAATGGATAATGAGATGAGTCAGACCAAATTGAAAATGTTTAAGCTACACGGTGGGAGTGCACAGGAAGAGAGGACAAATTAATTATAGAACTTGATCAACAGGATTATAAACATACTTTTGATGTATTGATGGATTTATTAACATCAGGGGATTGATGTTGATGGATTGGATTTGTAGTCGTGTGTATATTCTCGTGGATTAGAGGATTTATCACCGGAAAAGTGCGCAAAAAAATTAGTCTTGAATATAGAATTTACGAAAGATACCCTCGAATATGTTGTGACTAATTTTTGCGATTTGTAGAGATAAATCAGACCAGTTTTCTATCTCTCTTCATTCTGCTTTGTCGTGAATTCACAGAAAACGGAAGTCCAAATGTACCAAAATTTTTGTCAATAACCCGCACAAAAAGCCTGCGACACACGAGAATGTTGAGGATAATGAGATGAGTCAGTCTAAAGAAAAAATGTTTAAAATACACGGTGAGAGTGCACTGGAGGAGAGGACAAATTAATTCCAGAAGTTGCATTGATGCATTGATGGATTTATAAACTTCGGGCGATTGATGTTAATGGGTTGTCATGTGTATATTATTGTAGACGTGTTACCGAAACAATGTACGGGGAAATATTCGCGACCTGAAACTTTGGGAGACATATTCTTAAGTATTTTATTTTTGAATCAAAAAAGTGCATTATCAAATTTCTGGGTTTTAAAGTAGAAAGTAGTTTTTCTGATTCAACTGTGTTCTATTGCGTCTTCCCATGTATACGTCTTTATTCCTGGCTTATATAAGCATCAGATTTTTACGATTCCTGATAACAAATCAGAGTGGTTTTATTTCTCTTCATTCTCTCCCTCGTAAATCCATAAAGAGCGAAAATCCGAGTGATCTTTATGTGCCCAAGTAGATTCCTCAGCACTAATTAGAAATGTTCAAACAGCCTGGCAAACTTCGCAGAGGCAGAGAGTAGTTAAGCCAATTGAATAAGTTGACGAAACAGAAGAAGGAAAAATTTATAAACGTCACTTTCATGCACTGACGGATTTCTCAACTGCAGATGATTAAAATTAATCTTTCGGATTTATGGTCGTGTATTTCCTCGTGAATTACAGGATATTTGATCAGACGAGTGTGAAGCTGTATTATCCCTTTCCCAAAATAAGTCAGAGAAATTCTCCATTCCCTCCGCCTGAAGTTCATAGATGTTGAAAATTCATGTAGCCAAATGACAATTATTTGGATAACGAGATCACTCGGTACTAATTAAAAATGTTTAAACAAGTTGGTGAGAGTTCATAAAAGCAGAGAGTACCTAGTTAAACCAATTAAATTGAGAAAATTCAAGGAAAAGATATTGTAAAAATACTTTGAATGGATTTATGAAATTCGGTTGATGGTAATTAATCAACTAAAACAGCCGTAAAAGGACTATTTGACGCAATTCAAGCAAAAAAAAAATTTTTTATTAACTTTTGTTTATTACCTTTTTTTTGTTGGGAGTACTCATGAGAATAATAATGTTTTATTCGTCTTGTAATTCAATTGATTAGATTAGGCAGATTACACTTTTTTTTTCATTCCATTCAAATTCCGTATCACATTTTCCTTTTTCTCAATCTGGGTATCCACCTGGGCCTTCCTTTGGACTTTAGATTTTGCTGTTGCATTTTCTTTTCAATTAATCCATTGACAAAATATTCTCCCGTCAAAACTTCTCAGTAATTTTTCATTCTACTGAATGGAAAATTATTATCCTCATATAGTATTCCCAATAATAAAAAACGTTGATAAACAAAAGTTAATAGACAAAAAAGTTGACAAAAAATTTTATGCTTGAAGTGCGTCAATCGTATTTTCGACTGTTTCATTTTGCCCCATTCTCCCCTATGTAAATATATATATATCAAGATATCTATTTCAAGATATCAAGATATCTAATTTATTTTTACTGAGGAACAATGAAGATTGTCCCCTCATCAGAATAAATCACAATAGGGCTTGGATTTTTCTACATTCTCTCCCTTAAAAATTCACAGATATTCCAATTCTTGCAGCCAAATGACAATCATTGGATAATGAGATCACTCAGCATCAGTTAATACCTAAACCACTAGCATAAATTCAAAAAAGTGAAAAAAAATGGGCCGTGACTATTCGCACCATTGCGTGAATCACTCCCGTACACTCCATACGCTCCACGCATGCGTGAAGTTTGTGTGTTTCACGCAGTCGAATTTTCATACTGCTGTGTATTTCACGCAGTTGAAGTGTTATACTACTGTGTGTTTCACGTAGTTGTATTTTTATACACCTGTGTGTTTCCCGCAGTTGTAATTTTATACATCAGGATTGCGTTTTTCCACTTCCTAGGCCTTATACAAGATGAATTGAATTAATTTTTTTTGGCACTTTCGTTTTTCGCGATTATCTCGGAAACTATGAGAG